TTTACGTTCGAAGAGTATGCAGACATGCATCTTATTTATGGCGAAGAGGCGAAGCAAGATGCAACGCTAGAGAAGTTGAGCGCTTTCCGAATCGCCGATATCCTTGCCAAACAACATTTTCGTCAATCCATCGTCGGTTAAGAGAAAAAGGCAACTTTAAACCAGATGGAGGAAGTTGACATCCACGAACTGCACGGACAGTGGTCATTGAGGAGAGGTTTTGCGTCGAACCAAAGAACAACCTACCACAAGCCGTTTTAAACAATTATTATAAATTTGTTATTTTTGCGTTATTCTTAATAAAAGTTACTGAAATATCGAAGCCTTTTGGGATCAATGTAATGACATTACGTTTTTGGACAAATATTGCTCCAGGGCCAAAATGGCTCATTTCTGACTAGGGGTTGTTTATATACAAAAATGTTCTTTCTCGATGTCTTCTATAATCCACTCAAGTTTGGCAACACCTTTTTGAAACACCCTGTATATCTTCTGTGTTATGTTCTGATTATCATAAAATACGTGTCAAATCTATGTTTCTATAGGTAGGTACATACCTATCACACAGATCTTAGGTAGATATTTAACTCAACATCAAATTCTGTATTGCTTACTTTGCAATAACAGATTAACATGCATTTTACACGATCGCGAGAAATAACTGTTACTTTTATTATATTTCTATATTACAGAAAATTCTAAGCTTTTCTATCTTGCATCTTAAATCCATCATAAACAAATTTTCTTACTTATAACTTATAGTCTACTGATCCGCTATGATTTTATACAGACCTAAATATCTATTAAAGAATTTGAATTATAAAATAAATTATGAGAAACGAGAACATAACATAAACTTTTACGGTCATTGGTCTAAATAGCTATTAACAAAAATTACTGGAAAAACTTTGCCATCTAAAAAAATAAGGGGTTAAATGTAAACATAAACATGTGCATTAGACTTATTTTCTTATTTTTCAGTTGTTTAATGTTTGACGTTTAATGAAGTGTACGGCAACATTGTTACAAACTTTTACTACTGAATCCTTTTGTCAAAATAATACAAAACACTGACCGTTTTATTAGAGAATTAGAGAGTTAGTAGCCAAAAAAAACTTTTGAGGCTTTTTTATAAAATGCACCCACCGTTCACGATTTGAAATCGAACAACCGCGTCATGTTAGTAATAGCATAGTCAGTAGCAAACGATAGATAAATACATATAAGCCAATTATTTTGCTCTAATATTACGTAATTATTCGTTCATGTGCCTAGACTGGACATCTGCATAATTAGCTATTTTTTACTTTCATTTTAAATAAAAATGAACTTGTACAAAATTTCCTAACTAAAAAAACAAAATTGGAAATCAAAAACTAAGTAACGCATCCCGTTAATATTTATTTTAATAAGAAATTACACTGAAAATGAACAGGATGATATACTTACGAAGAAACATGCCTTCGTAACTGCAAAACACTATGCATTACAAGCTGTTACAGTTAACGCCACGCCGCCAATGTCTTTCTACCTCGGGTGTCAAAAATAATTTTTGAAATAAAAAATAATATATTAGAGGTAGGTATTATACGCTGTATTATATCATTTTAAAGGTGGTAATAATGATATCGATATTATTTCCTGGTTGATATACATGTTTAGATAACAAATGCAAAGGACCTTTGTAACAACATAATATGCATTTTTATACAGTGGCATTTATTAGTACATTTGTTGCTATCTTAATTTTGCTTCCAAAATATTATCTGCAACGAAATATGAAAAAGAAAGTATAAATTATAGTAATTCTGGCATTGCAGATAATTTTTTGTTTAAATTTTACATGCAGGTAGCTACTATCATGATGAAACAGCACTTATGAAGTTAGGTAATCAAACCGTTCATTCACAGGCTATTTTTACCGGCGCGACATTTTAAATCAACTGAACTAAATATCCTAGAAATTCCGAAAGGTGACTCTTGATAATTTTATTGTATTATAATTTATTGAATAAGGAAGTGTTAAACAAAACATGAATGAAACTTTGATGAGTATGTTAACTAGAAGACAGCAATGTAAAAATTAACTTCAATAATTTTCTGAAGAAGTAATCATTTATTTTTGAGGATGATAAAAACGTACATATTTATAAATTAATTTCTCGCTGAAGACTTAGTTACTGCATTTTATTTGTACTTTGTTAACTTTGTCTATCCTTTGTCCAATGCTGCTTAGAATCTTATAATTTTTTTCCCTATTTTAAAAAGACATATTGGAATATGTCTTTTATCTTTTTTTAATAGCAAATAGACAACCTGGAATGTTTGATTTTCAGTCACAAAAAATTAACTATTTCACTTTCTCTTTATTTTTGAAGAATCGTATGCAATTAGGGTCGTTTTTAAGAAAATATGTTGTTGATGTGTTTTATTTTGACGAGGATTATCACTCCCCAAAGTTTGTTGTAATGTATATACTAACTATTATACCCTGTATATGCAGTAAATATTTGAGACACATGAGACGAGGGTCATACTGTATTAAGTAATCCTAGTTGTAATTATGTACATTTATGTACCCCCTTAAATTAATTAATCGCAAACAGCCCGTTTAGGGTGAATTAGGCCCACGCTGTATGTAAATTTCGTTACTTCATCTTTTACCCTCGTATATTAATAATGGAGACAATATTAAATCCGGTGACGATATTGCATCCAGGGAATTTGTCTCTTATTAGGAAGCAGGCAATTGCAGGGTAATGTATTTATTGCTTTGATAGAATCATAAGCCAAGTTGTCGGCTACTTACTTGCTGGCAAAATTATACCCGTGTGCACGCGCATGAATAAACTAAAACCGAGTCTGAGTACTAAAGATAATTGATGTTTATTTATTTATTTATTACTGATGCATAAAACAATTTTTTTATACATGTATATTAAGAACGTCTTTATTTTTTATGTCCTCCAACATCTTCTTTGCCACTTTTAATATGCAGACTTGAACTTAAAAACTGATTTTGATATTTTGTTATCTATTATCGACTTTTTTACTAGCTTAACTAAGTAAACTGTTCATGATATTTAAGTTTATTTTCCTAAAGATTAATATTCTTTGGAAGTAAAATATTATATATACATAATTTTATCGAATAGGCCACTCTTTCTTAATGCCGTTTCGACTAAGGAATCAGATTTTTATTGCCATGTTTCGTTTTTCGATAACCATCATCAGTTAATTAAAAGCCTATTATTATATTATTTTCACGCCATTATATTTCTTATTTTCTTTTGAGTACAGTAATGTACTGTACGACGTTTCGAACTCGAAAACTCATGGTCAATATTAGTTTTCTTTATAAATATTAGTAAAGGACCACCCACCAAATCAATGGAAAATGGATCCCGTCAAACTGGCTGAAATTGTAGTATATTGTAGCTTTTGGCCTTCTGAACAAAATTTCTCATGGTCATGAAGTCCAGAAATGGTTACTTTGCGAGATACAGATGGTCAAAGGTCATACGAAGTCACGTTTGGGACTTGACGGCAAGCCAGTTTATTGGTAGGAGACGGTTCCTTGTATAGTCTTTCCGATATCAATTGAAGAACCAACAGATTGTCAGTATGTACCAGGTGTATGTACCACTGAAATATTTGAAAAACTTGTTCCCATATTCATTTAGCCATACCCATATACAGGTCTGGTCGAAATGTATACGCCCAGTTGAAGAATGCGGGCGCGGGCAAAGGAAAACAAACACAGTTGCATTGGGCTACTGGGCAATAAATCTCAGCCGTTGACAAGTGGTTGATAAATTGCCCAGTAGTGCAGTGCAGCAATGCAGGTATTTTAATTTATTATAGGCACCTTTTATCAGTTATTCATATTACAATTGCGAAAGGGAGAAATAAGAGGGTTATTTTGTTTACTAATATTGTCACAACATGGCATTTTGGAGACCTTTTGAAACGGAACAAAACAAAATTTACCACCAATATAATAAAATTGTTTGAGGACATAAATAATTAAAATATGTTGTTGGCCAAATTAACATATAATAGAAATTTGATACACATTATATACAAATTATTATAATTTTTTACTTTTAGCAGAAAACCTTTTTAGGGACGCCTATGAAACTCATTAAATTTTATTGCCAGGCGTTTTTTTGCATGTTCAACTGACCTTGGAAAGACTATAAAAGTTGTTGAGTTTAGAATGAGGCAATTTAACGTGACCTTGACTCTGACCCTTGGTTGAGGTTAAAGGGCATTTGAGGGTTCACTCAGAATTATTCTTTTGGTCTTCTGAAATTTTGAAAATATTGTTAAACGAGACGAACTTCAAAACCAACTAAATATTTATTGCATTGATTGCGCGCCAATTTCTTGCCACGTCAGGTGTTTAATTGAGCGCTGACTTAAATTTTCACTCACGGGTTTTTTCCACCTATTTTGTCCATTTTTAATGTGGAAAAATGTAAAAAATAATGTATCGTCTCAACCTTATTTACGAAAGTTAAGCGGGAATAAGTAGTATATCTAATTGATAAATTGTTTATTTATTTTTCCAATTGTATGTTTTTTGTGTAATATTTTTTTGTACCTCTGCTACTTTTAGATATTTCAATGGAATTTGTACCTACAGTAAAGTTTTTGAGATAACTGAATACGATAGACTTATTTATTATACTCGGTACATCGCTTTCTAGTACCTATATTTTTTCATAGAAGAACCTTTGAAGTATAGCCCATTGCCCATTTGTTTCTGTGTACCTTTTGTATAATAATTAAATAACTCACAATGCAATTTTATTATCAGTTTAATATCTCAAAAATTGTCAAACAAGTTATTTATTTTTAGATTGGTACTTACCTTATCTGTCAGAACTTTTTCTTAATAAAATCAGTACTCTGTTTGTTATATATATATATAATACTCATAATTCTGCATGATATAAGTTTTGTCATCAGTAACATAGATTCATATTTTATTTCAGGGATGGAGGCTTTAGAAACGTGTATAAGTTATTGGGAAGATGCATTAGCAGCATACAAATCCAGAGATGGTGCAGCTCCATTAGCAGTATTAAGCCCAGAAGAAACAGGATTTTGTAGGGATATCCAACAGTTACTCGAATTAGCGTTAGAATTACAAGAAAATTCGGAAATGTTATTTTTGGATGAAAGGTCAATATTATTCAAACCAGAAAGCGCCATTAAAGAAGAAAATGGTTTAGAGACGGACCTGTCCGGTGGCGAAAGTTTTGCTTCAGCTCAAGATCAGGTAAGTATTACAGAGAAATAGAAAAACCACATTATTATTTTTTGTGATTCAGCCCTATAAATAAATTTCAAAATTTCTATAATTTTTAAAATATTTTTTCATGATGAAGTTAAATATACAGTACGTCCCAGAAGTACCTAACGCAAAAAATTCGTATTTTACTTTGTGTTGAGTTTTCACAAAAACGCTAAAACAGGTCAATTAGTAAATATAAATTGTCGTTTTGTCACGTTGGTTAAACCTTTTTTGCGCTATGTTTCATAAACCTACGACGTCATCGACATTTTTTTTAAATAGCACTACCTAATTTTTTAAGCATAAATGGATAGCTCTTTTGAAGGGAAATGCGTCGATATATAGGGTTTGGCCTACTTTATTTTGACAGGTGCGAAAAAGAAGCCAACGATTGGAATGGACATGGTTTGAATTAATAACAAAAGTAGGTACCACAAACTTATGCGCGAACAGTGCTATAGCAAAATATGTGTTTTGGTTGATTGTAGGTACATGTTTTTATGTAGATTTGGTAGGTACACCCGATCTCAGCGGCTATGTATGTATTGTTTTGAGGACGACAGTTAGCGAATGCAATAGTGCCTCATATCATTGTGACAGTTACAAATACCATAACTTTACATTACGATATGGTGTTGTGTTTAAATGAGAAACAAAAATTGAAATCCTAATTATGGTAGGATCCGTAGTTATGATGAAGTATGTCAATTATTGAATGCTAAGTATCCAGAACAACCAATACCTCCATCTACAGTATGCAGATTAGTACGAAAAACTGAAGACGCTGGACATGTTAGAGATCTGTCTAGATCTGGAAGGCCAACGACAGTGATAGAAAATGATAGGCAAAATATTATTTTTAGCTGTCACTGAAAATCCACACACTGCCGTTCGTCGTATCGTCGAAAACGCCAACATATCAATACATAAAACCGTACCTACAATCAACCAAAACACAAAACATCCACAAATTTCCATTTTCTGCTGTGGCACTGTTCTCGCATCATTTTATGATACCTACTTTTGTTGTTATTTTAAACCATGTCCATTCCAGTCATTGGCTTTTTTCGCTCCTGTCAAAGTAAAGTAGGCCAAACCCAATATAGACGTATTTCCCTTCAAAAGGACTATCCATTTATGCTTAGAAAATTAGGTAGTGCTATTTAAAAAAAATTTCGATGACGTCATAGGTTTATAAAAAATAGCGCAAAAATTGTTTGAGCAATGTGACAAAATGACAATTCCTATTTATAGACCAGGGTCGATAATTTTTTAAACCAAAAAAAATTATAGTAGGATGAAACCCATTGGAAAAGAAAGAGAATATAACAGAAATGAAAGGAACAATAATTTACGGGCGATCTGAGATCGGGAGGGGGTAGGGGGTGAGTTTTTAAGGGTAAAAACCGGTTTCCCTTGATTTCCAGAAAAACTACAAGTCTTATGGAAAAAAGTTAAATGACAAAGTTGTAGGTAATAAAAAGATCTACAACTTTTGTATTTACACTTTTTTCACATAACCTCAAAATTTATGTGAAAAATTCAAATAACCAAGTTTTTGGTTTTTTATTTTAATTTTACAAAAAAAAAATTTTTTTCACGCAATTTGGTGAAAACTTACCTATTTATGTCCCAAACACGCTGTAATTTTTTTGATTTGAAATATTTATTTTTTCACCTTATTTTTACTTAATATCGAAAAAGCACCCTAATTTTCAATCGAAAATTCTCACGTCAAAATATCTGCTTTTTTAAAAACGTCGGTGGGCTTTTTCTTCGTTGAAATCTCTACTTTCTGATGGTGTAAAAAAAATATACATTACTATGGTAAGTTTTCTCAGGAAATGCAAAGAAACGAAAGAAGATTCTACAACTTTCTCAAAATATTGTAGATGTCTTATTAAATATTAACTTTATTAACTTATTTGGTTGTTAATTATAATAGTATATTTCGACTTGTAATTTTTTTGTTTATCAATGTAACATGGAATCTTACGTTTTTCGAGTAATTAAAGTGTAAATTTTAATAAATAGCTCAAAATTGTACATAATGATTAGAAAAAAATTTTCGGATTCTAGTTCGTTTCTTTGCATTTCCTGAGAAAACTTACCATAGTAATGTATATATTTTTTTACACCATCAGAAAGTAGAGATTTCAACGAAGAAAAAGCCCACCGACGTTTTTAAAAAAGCAGATATTTTGACGTGAGAATTTTCGATTGAAAATTAGGGTGCTTTTTCGATATTAAGTAAAAATAAGGTGAAAAAATAAATATTTCAAATCAAAAAAATTACAGCGTGTTTGGGACATAAATAGGTAAGTTTTCACCAAATTTCGTGAAAAAAAAATTTTTTTGTAAAAGATAAAAATAAAAAACCAAAAACTTGGTTATTTGAATTTTTCACATAAATTTTGAGGTTATGTGAAAAAAGTGTAAATACAAAAGTTGTAGATCTTTTTATTACCTACAACTTTGCTATTTAACTTTTTTCCATAAGACTTGTAGTTTTTCCGGAAATCAAGATAAACCGTTTTTTACCCTTAAAAACTCACCCCCTTCCCCTTCCCGACCTCAGATCGCCCGTAAATTATTTTTCTTTTCATTTCTGTTATATTCTCTTCCTTTTCCAATGGGTTTCATCCGACTATAATTTTTTTTCACTTTTTACCATTTTTGAAGGCTTAAGCACTGGTCTATTACTAATTGACGTGTTTTAGCGTTTTTGTGAAAACGCAACACAAAATAAAATACGAATTTTTTGCGTTACTTCTGGGACACACTGTATAATAATCTTAATGCTCAAATTCATTGGATTTACTGTTTCAAACAATAAAAATTATCTTAAAATGCTTAGAGAAGATTTATAATCAGTATAAAATAGGTATTTTTCTTGATTCTTGACTGAACCACATTTTTCTTTAAATAAAAAATCCTAAATACACAGCGCAACTTAATGAACTTTAAAAAGACAAAAAAAAATGATTTAATAAAATTTGGAATTATGAAGTATTGAAAAATATTTTTTTATTAAACTATTTTAAGATGATCCACTATTCTAATGAGGAAAATTATATTTTTATTACTTATTTTTTTATTTGTTATTTTTTTTCGATATTTATTTATTTATTTACTTATTTAAAATTAGAACTGCTCACGAGAAAATCCCAATACAGAGCAGGGAAAACAAAACAATATAGTGTGATTACAAAATACAGTAGAAAATACGAAAACACTTGAAAATACATAGAATAAAATTTTTACAAGAAGGTGTTTTAACTTGGTTAAATTAAGATAGAAATACTTAAGTAATTAAAATAAAATTATGATTTTTTTAATTTATAATTCAAATTGAATTCTCAAAAAAATATTTTATCAAATAAGACCAAAAAAAAAAGATTTTTAAATGTTAAGTGTTTCCATTAACAATTTAAGATTTAGATTTGACAAACTATTTCATCTAAATCTGAAACTGCTTTTTCAAGATGATTTTAAGTCTTTAAACATTTTATATATGTTTTAGGGGTTGATATAGTAAACCAATTCATTTTTAAGCTTTTTTAAAATTATTACAAGTTTCGATTATCTTCATCATGCAATATCTTAACAGCTATTGATATTGTATAGTAATGTGAACAACCCTCTCTCCAGAATTCCTATGAAACGATTTTTTTTACTCTATATTTGTTTGTGAAAAGTTTTACTTAAACTTTTAATAAATATCACCACAGGGTTTTATCACAGAATAAAAAAATGCTTTCTATTGTCAAATTATCAGGTCACATAGTTTTATGTGAATCATTCTTATTTTAAATCGAACATTTGTTGCTAGATTTGAATTTTGAATACATGAAATTTTGAATTGCAAACTCTTGAAATACCCTAAATTCAGCCAGTTCAGTTATTATTGATCTTTTATAAAAAATTAACAGAAAGATAAAGTTTGCAAAGAAGCTTATCAAAACATTTTTCATATGACATAAGTGTGGCCTAGTAAAATTTTTTGGGATGCACTATTGCAATGTGATTGGCAATTGATGATGACTTGTCTGTGATTTTTTTTAGAGGCACTTTTTGGAAAAATCACTTCAAGGGTACACAATCACTATTACTTAGAGCCCTTGTATCTCAAATTTAATTGATTTGTAATACAGAACAATTATTTCACACAAACTTAGTTTTAAATTTATGAGATTTTTGTTTTAGTTTAAAAATCCAAGTGGTTTTGCAAATGCCCAAGAATTAGCTAATTATTGAACCAGCTCATTATGATTGGTAAATAGTAAGGTCTGCATATAAATAATTTTCATAATTTTATGTAAGGCTTAATATTTTACAATTTTAGGCCAATAAGCAGACTATTATTTGCTAGTTGTAATCACCAGGCATCATTTTCAGTCATTTTCGGTGCCTTCTAGATTTTTAAACAGAAACAAAAATTTTACTGAAAAATGTATTATACTATAAATTGATTGATTAAGGCCCGGTATACTTTGCGTCTCGGTTAAAGCTTGATTAACTGATTATAAAAAGTGATCACAGTCCAAACGCCAAGCCTTAACCGAGACTCAAATCACCAAGCCTAAAGGTACAAAGCTAAATTTTTACATAATAATAGAATCAAGTGATTTTTCTAAAAATTGCTTAAAAAAATCGCAGCAAATAAAATCAAGTATTCCATTGTTAAGAAATAACTGTTGACAAAACAACTTGTTCTATATTTCCTACTTTAAACATTCTTATTTTAAACTAGAAATTCGTACTTTAAATTTGTAAACCTAATTTTGAACTCAGTATTCCGATTGAATTTCTTTATCCAGAATTAGGAGTTTAACAACAGTATCTTTCAGGTGGCAGATTTGAGGGAGTTTGAAGAATTTTCGGATTACTTTCCTGACTTGGAAGCACATCCCTTATATCAGGCAGCTTTACGACAGTTAGAAGACGGAGGAATTCCCTGTAGGACACTGAGAACAGATCTTGTAAAATGTGGTTCTGATGGTGAATACCTTGCTAAATTGCACTGCCTACGACTGGCTTTTCAACACCTTCTAAGAGAACATGTAAATTATATATGGTTTGTAGATGCCGGTAGACAAATATTAGCTGATTTGTTATTATATGCTGATAAAGATCCCAAGGACTTTCTAATAGGTAAGAGTATCTCTTAATCTAAGTATCATATTTTTCTTTATATACAGGCTGTTACAAATTCACTTCTCACTTCAAGGATCTCGGAAACGGTAAGAAATTCAAATTAGCTTAAACCGGGGCCAAGTTGCATAATCAGGGGACCAATGCCTCTAAAAAATCAAGGTTAACATGATTAGTTGTCGAAATATTTGAAAAAAAAAACGAAATTTTGGAAATCCGTGTTTGTTTCACTTTCTCATGGCAATTTTTTGTCCTCTATCGAATGGCATATTCAATTTTTATATGTAACATTTCGTCTTTCCAGGACCATCATCAACTTAATTTTTTTTAAATATGATCCTGGAAATTTTATTACATTTTTTGCAAGCATTCGTGACCCCTAATCCTATACTGCCTTAGCATAAACTAGATTCAGACGTTTTATCTCGAAAAATTCATCTCCAACCTAAATTTTTTATTTAGATTTCTATGTTTATTGAATTATCGTGCACTCTAAGTGTCGTTAGACTATGTGAAATCCACCTTGTTATTTAAATTATTACCATCATACGTTACAATAAAACATTATTGGAGTTTTAATCTCCATCACCTGGTCATACATAATTCGATAAGTTGTTGCGTCAAAATTAAAACATTATTATAAAACACCCCGCAACTATCTTGATGGAAAACCGGTCCCGGTAGAATGATATGGAACTTTACCAAATGGTAGTCCTCAATGTGTTGATCAAAGAAGTCCATGGGACCTAGGTCTGAAATGCCTTCTGATGTTATCGAATACACGTACTTGATGACCATCAAGTCAAGTTCTCTGAAGGTGCTTCAGCTATTTTCTGAAGACTGAAGAATGCTGCAGATATGCTGATGACGGATAAGTGTTCAGCATGCGTAAAAACATAAGATGTCGCTCAAGCAGTACGTGTTGCTATCGCTGTTCTTCAGTAGGTGCTTCACCGATTTTCTGAAGACTGAAGCTATTTTGACCACGGATTCGCATTCAGCACACGAAAATACATCAAGAAACAGTCAGCTTGGTCACTTTATAAAAAAATGTTTGCATTTACCCGCCCTTAAATCATTGGACTTGATGGTCATCGAGGACGTGGATTCGATAACTTCAGCTTCAGAACAGTAGTTTTTCAGACCTAGGTCCAATAGACTTTTTTGATTGACACATTGAGGACTATCATTCGGCAAACTTTAATACCATTCGACCGGAAGCGGTTTTCCATAAGGATAGTTGCGGGGTCCTTTAATTTTATTATGACAAATTAATTCTTAAAAATGCATATGAACAATTAAAACTCCAAATCAATATTATACTTTAAAAAATTATAGTAAATGTTCAAAAACGTTTCCATTTTGGCAAATGTTGAAAATGAAGATAAGAGTAATATGATCGGAATTTATTATACCTATAACTGCAACTGTGAAAGAGCATATCAGATGTACTTGTATGAATATCCTGAAAAAAAATTAAGTCGAAATTTGTTTGAATTTTGAGCACTCAAGAAAACTAGAAATAACTATGAGCTCGGGATTAAAACTCTAATGTTTCATTGTAACGTGTGATGGTAATGTCTAAATAACTAGGTGGATTTCACAGGATCTAACGACACTTAGAGTGTACGATAATTTAAGAAACATAGAAATCTAACAGAAAAATTAGATAAAGGAATGCATACATTGAAAATGATTTTTTGGAGACAAAACGTCTAAATCTGGTTCAGGCTGAGGCAGTACAGTATTGGGGGTCATGATGGTTTGCAAAAAACGTAATTAAATTTCCAGGGTCGTATTTAAAAAAATGAAGTTGATGATGGTCCTGGAGAGACGAAACATTATATATAAAAATTGATTATGCCATTCGATAGAGGGCAAAAAGTTGCTATGAGAAAGTGTTCTTTTTTTTCAATATCACCTCAAACAAGGCTAATATGAAACAAAAATGGATTTCTAAAATTTCGTTTTTTTTTTTTAATATTTTGGATAACTATAATGTTAGCCTCGATTTTTTAGATTGATCGCCTGATTATGCAACTTTGCCCCCATTTAAGCTACTTCTTATCTCTTACTGTTTCCGAGATGCCTGCAGTGAGAAGCGAATTTGTAACAGCCTGTATTCAAGGTGATTCACAAACCAAAAATGAAACCTCGTATTCTTTGGTAAATTTTAAGGGGGGGGCTATCATGTAAAGTTTTTATCTAGGACGCCAGATAGAGGGTGTTAAACTTAAAATAATATTTTTAATTTATTTAAATAATTTAAAAACTAGTTAGTGAAATAATTTGGAATTGGGCACATACTTATGTAAACATTGTCCAAAATCTGAGGCCTTTTTCTAAAACTTAGATGCTCCAGTGGCGGAGATACAGGGTATCGATGGCATATTTTTCTAAATAATATACAAAAAAAAAATAAGCTTCACTTAATTACTAACAGTTAATTATGCTTAAAATAAGCTAATTCACTTTTAATTGTCCCAATAAAAAACAGAAAAATCAAAAAAATATTTCTAGGTTTATAACTTTTTAAAGAACTGAAATTGGAGCATGGTGGCTTGAACTCTAAATTGATTTATTTTGCTATAAGGAGCTACCGCCTGAAGTATGGTGAATTCACATTTTGTTAATGTCTTGCATTTCATTAGCTTGGAAAATTTTAAGTCCTAACTTGTTCTTAACTTAACTTAACTTGTTCTAGGATACGAAGAAATACTTCATTATATTCAAGATCCGAACAATTGGCGTGAATTAGAAGAAGAGCTGAGTTCTAAAAGAGTGAAAGCCTTAACATTTTATGACGTAGTTTTAGACTATATTTTAATGGACGCATTCGAAGATTTAGATAGCCCTCCTTCCTCTGTTACAGCCGTCATTCAGAACAGATGGTTGTCCAACGGCTTCAAAGAAACAGCATTGACAACAGCAGTTTGGTCTGTTTTAAAAGCTAAAAGGAGAAGACTGAAATTTCCAAATGGATTTATGGCTCATTTTTATACATTGTCAGAACAGTTGTCTCCCTTGTTAGCTTGGGGTTTTTTAGGATCTGATGAACTGTTAAGAGACACTTGCATATATTTTAAGGAACAAGTGATGGGATTTCTCTGCGATATTTTTAATTTTGAAAAATGTAAATATACTAGTGTAGAAAATTTAGCGATGGACGTTATTCACAATATTAAAGTAAGAGTCAACAATATCTGCCAAAGATTGAGTGCCCAATCATAAAACATTTTAACACTCTACGTAGATCTTTTTAGCATTCATAAATTAATTAAACGTTATCGTTTTCATTAGTATTTTATAATTTATTTGTAGGTATTTATTATACTTATATGACGATTAGTACAAAAACATTCCTCTTAATTAAGACCTATATTACTTATGATTTTTATTGTTGTCATTGAAACATAATTTTACGCTTTTTTGACAATGTTTTTAACTTCAAGTTTTTAATAAATTTTTATAATACCAAACTGTATAAATATTTGTTTCCCCAATATTGCTTAAAGGGAATAAAATAATTTTTACTTCTGACAAATTGCAAGAGACTGGTAAAATATTTCATATCTTAAGCAGTGTCAGTTGGAGAAAATTTAGAAACTTTTGTGATGAAAAAATTTAAAAAAGGTTACTGATAGGTAGATACAAACAGGTTTTTTCTTATTTTTTATAATTTTTTTAAATTTTTTAAAAGTTAAATCAAATTAATTTAAATGGCTAATGGGATTTTAATTTTGTAAAAAAAATAACTCATTAGTTGGTCATAAAAAAAAATACACACGTTTTCGAGATCTCAGGGTTGGCAATCTCTATTTTAATTTTTCATTTCAACATATGTTTGACATTTTTTCGCCAAATAAGATCTCCATGTGATCTTAGAAAAAAAAAAATTATGAAACCCACTACATTGTCAAAATATTACCATTTTTATTTTTTGACTCCATGAATTTATAGTACTTCCGTTGTACACGTTATTCTGGGACACCCTGTATTTATAATAAGTCACATTCAATTGCTACATCTTTGTTTTAAATGCTAAAACTCATAGCAAAACGGTGTGAGGTTGGACCGAAGACCCTGTCCGCAAGTGAGAAGGATTCAAAAATTTTCCACACGAGAATCGAGTCGCCGCTTGCTTATGCTTTTGGTTCGCTTATAGTTTTGGTTTGCTTGTGCGTTGTTTTGTCTTTTGTGCCTTTGGATGCTTTCTACGAATAAGGGTAAGTAAGCAAATTTTATATTTTTTCTCATACCTTATACAGCCCGCAAACGCAACACACATATATTTTCAAATTCTTTGTTACATACATGTTTGTATGTGTCAACTGAATGTATAATCAGTTGACACATACAAACATGTATTTTCTTATTTTTCACAGAATATTAATTTTTCTTAAATGAAGTTTGAAAATTGGAATGTTTGAATTAAATCAAAATTCAAATAGAAAGTAAATTTAAATTTGTGACCAATAAAAAAAATATCCGATTATATCCATCGGTTGATTTTGAGAAAATATATTTTTCTATATATAATATATAGATAGGACAAATTAAGATAAAGTTGCAGAATTTGATGACATACAGAAAACAAATAACCCATTTTTCATTTTAAGATTGAAACTAAAAATTTTGATTTTCGTTTTTATATTTTTAATCAAAAAAGGAAAGAAGTTGTCAATTTTTTTTAGAGAATTGAAATACGTAGTCATATTATTGTGGCACCTGTCAAGACGAAAAAACAACGTTCAAATTCTGTTTTTATGAATAGGTAGATAGTAACAGCCAGTTATTTTCAAAATTAAATATTGTAAATTTTCATTGATGAGTTTAGAGAAGAAAATATAATTTTCACATAAAAAAAATCATATATGCTAATTAATAATTAGGTAATGAGTTTGGGCAAATTTCGCTCCTCTTGTAATTCTAGTTTTCTAAACTTAGCCATTGTCAATTAAAATCTAATTTATTAAATTCATGTATCAAGTAAACCGAAAATTTTGTTTGGTCTAATGGTTGGGATTTTTGTTTTCAAAACCTTCTTTTAAAGGTGAATAATTTGTCATTTTGACAAAAACAAGAAAAACAAACCATATCTTATGATATAGCACCGTCCAACGTCCATAAGGAAAACAAAACTATAATAATATTTCTCCATCCAAGTAGACGCTACGGCTAATATAATTACATATTTGAATTTTGCACAAGTGTCCTAATAATGTTAGTGATAAAAGATGTGTAAAATTTCATGTATTCCTACTTACTTATTATATATATACTTTTTTTTAGTTTTTTTTTGATATAAGATTCAGGCACCCCTATTTAAACTCTTTATTTTGCAAATATTTTTCTCACAAAAATTCTGTATGTGAATCTAGAAATAATCATTAAAAAATGTTATGAAAATTTTAAGTTAATTCCATTGTTTTCAACAACATAGCGCACTTGAGATTTACTAATTAAGAAACTGTTTCTACTATCCGGATTTTATAAGCTAGTTTGAACATTTAATAATATTTGACAATACCCCACTGGAAGAATCAGTCTTAAAAACAGGAATTTTATGTCATCATGAATTGGATGTCGACCTTGTGAATAGGCTGTAACATATTACAAGATCCAGTTGAAACTTATAGAGGTAGACCTATTGTAGAAATTTGCATCTTATTTTAAAATGGAAGAATGAACTACACGAAAAGATTAAATGCTAAAGTTATTTGTTTGAGTCGAAAGCCGCAACAAGTTAGTCAACTTCATATATGACTATCAAAAATTCCTGGGACAGATATACTGTTAAATTAAGTCAGAATTGGAGAAATTGAAATTGAAAAAGAATATGTTGAATTACATCGAAATGAAAAATAGTAATGACTGTTGTACTAGTTATTATTTATAAAATTAGTGTATATATGTATATTTAAGTATTGTGTAATATTGGTAAAGTAAATTAATAACATTTACCGCAGTAAATACCATCTAATCCCATGGTATTAGAAACATATTTTTTTTTTTTGTTTCGATTTGATGTATCTTCCTTTCTCTTTCCGATTTAACATGAATATGTACAGAGGTGGTACACGAGAGTTGGAAAGAACGGGGTATACTTACATTCCCTATTTTTTTCAAAACCAAGCATGAAGTCATCGAGCATATGTAATTTACTTATAACCAGTGTATCTTGTATAACCAACGATGCACAATACAGGTTATTTAGCTATGGTCAAGATGCACTGAAATATCAAAGGTTTAAATAAAAATAAATTGTACAAAAATTTATAAAAGATGGTCCAGAATTTTAATTATTATTTTGTAGCTTACATAATAAAAATATATGGATACTTTATTATTTATGCTTCGTTATATACCATATTTTAAAAGAGATCTGTATATTTAAAACTGAATTAAGTGTGCTTATGAATGAATGACCACTTGATGAATTTCAAATTCAATTAGTAAGTATTTAAATATGTACTACTCCTTGTATACGATGGCCATTTTAGAACAGCTTCTTACTTATACTGAAAGTAAGAACATCATAAAGTTATAATTTAGTAGCATCTGACCGAAATTATGACTAATTATTTTGTAGCAGCATTGAAAACACTTGGTTTATAACTACTTAATCACAAGTTGCACATACAATTTTGTGTTTGTGGTTCTAAAAATGTTGCAACTGTAATGTTTAGAAATATATTCTCACGCAGAAATAATTATAATGATTTGTCGTGGAATATGATAGATGGGATCGGTAACAACGGCATGGGCCCTCGGTGGAGACCTCGGGAGTTCTAATCGAGCTCCACGTTGGGCGCCATGTCGCGATATATGACCGTTTGTGCCTAATGTTTGAGAATTGTGCGGGGAATTAGCAACATGGGCTCGCCGCGAAGACGTCGAAGCTGGACTTCGAGCCCCACGTCGAGCGCCATTTCGCGGAATATGATCTGAATGCGGTGTTTGGTCGGCATGGGTCCTCAGTGGAGACATCGGGAGTTCTAATCGAGCTCCACGTTGGAAACCATGTCGCAACCTGTGATCTGGGATGTTAGTTCCCTTGACCGGGTTCCGNATCTTCTGCGCACGTATTAAACATATTTTATTTTTGTTCATATTAACTCATTTCCTAAATAACATGGAATTCTTCTAGTAATTAATTTTTTTATCCTTTTAAGCGCTACCCAACCGTAAGTTTTATACTAATAGCTGAAATATTATCTAGCATCAGTATATCAACCACATTATTCCTGTTGTTAGATGCTATTATGGTGGTCTAGAGGCAACGGCCTCGCTTTGGAATCCAAAGGTTCGGGGTTCGAATCTCAGACAGAGCAAGACTTTTTTAATTTAAATAAAATTCGAAACCAACTTTAAGTTTACCGTCAATTGCAGCCCACATATCTCATCATATACATTTCAGGCTCCTTCAGAGACCTGCGTACCGTCCGAGGCTGAGAACCTCCGACGAAGACCTTGACTCCGATTGTGCCGGCTCCATCGAGAGACCCGCACCTCGGTACAGGGTACATACATAGGCTCCTACGAGTACTATAATTCAGACTCTATGGAGATTCCGCAAACCCGAGGCAACTTTCCTCGTCAAACGCGCTCGACACGGCGCTCGACGTGGGGCTCGACCATCGTCGTCGAGATCTCCCCCATGAGCTCGTGTCCTAGACACCACGTCTGTAGGCCATATCCACCACAGACCTCAGTCGTTTGAGAACCTAGTGCGACCTGGCGTCCAAAGTGGCGATCCATTTGAAACTCCTGGCGTCTCCACCGCGGACCCGGGTCGAGGAAACTAATAATTCTAACCCAAACTATCAGCATTCACGATATGGCGTTCGACGTGGGGCCCGAAGCTCGGCTTCGACGTCTTCGCGACGAGCCCAGGTTGCTGAATTACCCCGTAATTCTCAAATATTAGGCACTTCAGATCATCCACGACATTAAGGTTTTTAGAAGTCCAATTTTCCTTACCATTGCATTGTCTTCGTACAGCTTCTTCAGCGTGTCCCAAACATCCTGGGCAGTTCTTGCTTCTTTCATGTGTGGGTACAGAGCTGGATCTAAAGTTAAAATCAACTTTGCCTTGGCTTTCAAAATAACAGCTGAATCTGTTTCTGTCCCATCTAGACATCCTGACAGCCCTTCCAGTACAAACACATTTTCTATTGCAAAACACCATTCTTGGTAGTTCCTACGATCTGATAATCTCGGGACGCTGGTCAAGTAGTTAACGCCCATCTTGTGTTCCTCACCTTAGTGAGACTTCACAACTAACACAGTACATGTATTTACTGTCTACGAACTGTATTTTAGTCTTAAAAGGTTCTCTGGGGTACTGGGCCCATAACCTTTTAATGTAAACGTTATAATCCAGAGATTTTAAGATAATACTCGAGTGAGAAATAACTCTCGACACGTTTTTGTGATCAGTAGAACAACACTGTTTTTATTTGCCAAGCTTACTCCAACAGAATATTGTCACAGAGATAAGTTTATCTTTTTGTAACACAATTAATGAAACGACTCTGCTTTTAAATATCTTAATAAGGAACACAATTAATGAAACGACTCTGTTTTTTAAATATTTTAATAAGGGAATAACAAAATGTCGTGTAAGATGATTTTCGCGTAGTGTTGAAGCGACATGGGTCCGCGGTGGAGACATCGGTAGTTCGAATCGAGCCCCACGTTGGGCGCCATGTCGTGGAATATGATCTGAATTATTAGTAACATCGACATGGGTCCTCGGTGGAGACATCGGGAGTTCTAATCGAGCTTCGCGTTGGAAACCATGTCGAGCTCTATGATCTGGGATGTCAGTTCCTTTGACCTGGGTCCGCGGTAGAAACGCACGGAGTTCACGGGGATCGTCACTAGGGACGTCAGGTCGCATTATATTCTCAGAAGACTGTAATCTGTGGTGGATATTGCCTACAGACGTTGTGTCTAGGACACGAGCTCGCGGGGGAGATCTCGACGAAGAATGTCGAGCCCTCCTTGAGCGCCGTGTCGGGTTAGACCACATAGGCGGTGATCGTGTGTTCGGGGGAAATCCTGAGCGTGGACGGTCGATGTACCAGAATTGCTTTGAGAAAAAAGGCCGGCTCCGTCACCTACGACGTAGTCGGCTAAGGGGTTTACGCTTACCATGGCACCCGAACGCGATGCGCATTGCTCCCGCTGGATACCATTTCGTGAAAAAGCTGAATAAACTGTATCGTCGTTGCCAACGGCTCCACGTTCCGGAACACCCGATATCGGCGGTAGGCCGCTATCGGGGCCGGACCGCGAACCGTGGTTGGACTCATGGGATTCTCCGGACCCTACCAGTTGGTACGTAGGTTGATCCTCGTCCCGAGTATCTGCGGGTGACCCACTTCGTCGTAACTCATGAGTGCTACTCGACTCCGTGAGTGCGTCGTGAGGGGTGGTCGAGGTGGTATCAGTAATCCGCTTAGCAGCAGACCTCAACGCGTACGGCGCTGTGGCTGCGCCGTGCCGCGTACTTCCGCGAGCTACTACCTTCGGTCCCTCAGACTCTTTTCATGCAACATCGAGATAGCGTTGGGGAAGGAGGCCATTTCCTCTTTCACCCGGAATGTCGAGAGATCTTTCGCCGGCAAACAGGTGTGAGGGCAGTCCGTGTAACCGCTGGTCTCTCCGGTTGGGGACGAGGTCTCGTCCAGCTCAGTCTTGATCATCGAGTCACGATCTGATTTATTATTTGTTGTATCTTCGAGGGCACCAATCCTCGTAGCACTGGATATCGAAGTCACGTCGCAGGGATACATCTTACCCCGTACGACAATGTCGGAGTAAGCTCTTTTGCTCCGAAAGTTTTGTAGACGTCTGGTAGAAACACTGACTCTACTATTAAAATGTGGATCTCTCGAGGGAGCCCTAGAAGCAAGGACAACTTCTTTACTAAATTTGGAAGTACGCCGCCACAATAACGTGCGTACTATTGCCTTGTGCCTGTGGAGTTTGACGAGGAAGATTGCCTCGACGAGTGACCGCCTAGAGGTTTGACGAGGAAAGTTGCCTCGGATTTGCAGATCTCGATTGAATCTGAATGATAGGTCTCGTAGGAACCTATGTATGTACTCTGTACCGAGGTGCGGGTCTCTCGATGGAGCCGGCACGATCGGAATCAAAGTCTTCGTCGGAGGTACGCAGCCTCGAACGGTATGCAGGTCTCTGGAGGAGCCTGAAATGTATCGCTGTTTCGTCGCAGGGGGCGATCGAACAGGATCTTCGCCTTAGGTTGGGCTACCTCGGGCGGTACGCAGGTCTCTGGAGGAGCCTGGGGTATCGCTGTGTCGATGCGGGTGGCTATCGCACAGGATCTTCGTCGGAGGTGGTCAGTCTTGGACGGTATCGCAGGTCTCAAATGGATCCTGGAAATTTACCGCTGTTTCGATGCAGGGGGCTATCGAACAGGGTCTTCACCTCAGGCTAGGCTACCTCGGGTGATATGTCTCGTGAAGCGAGTAATGGTTGCTATGCACTATTAATATCTCGTCGAGGAATGGCAGCCTCGACGGAAGCCTCGTGAAGCGAGCCTGTGAGCTTGAGCTCCAAAGTTCTTGAGCTTGATGACAGGGTTTTTTCAATCAAACCGTGGAAGACATGTTAAAAGTATATATTGAAAAAAATTAACAGACAATAAAGATTCACAATTAACATATACAAGTTATTTATCATGAATAAGATTTGTTACACAATCGCTCTGTATCGCTTTCTTGTACCATGCACTACCACTGAAGTATTGCGAACGCCGGAAGATGACGTTCGTTCGCTTTTCTCATATCTCCATACTTTTGGCGGACCGGTCGTGAATTGTCCGCCAAAATTTCCAATAAAAAGCGCTCTTCGTCGCTGTCGACGTCGGGACTCGTTTCCCTCTGGCCTCTCCGGATAGTCGATGTCGGTGTCGGGGATTTTGGAGCTTTCTCCCATTTTGAGAAAACTCCACCCGCGGTTTCGGCTTAGGCTACTGAGCATCGCATCCAACCGCCAGAGCGGTGGGATCTTCGGAAGACGGTCCTTTCGGCCCAAAGACGGGGAAATTCGAAACATCGGTGAAATCTTCCCCGTCTTCGTAAAAGGGCTTACGGAGGTCTTATTACTGGATGGATTTTATTGAGCAGTGGACTGGTGATGCACGGCATGAAGTAGTGTCCTGGTTGGAGGGTTCGGCCGAGATCGCGCGGACACTTTCGGCGGCAGCTATGAAGACGTGAAAACCTATTATGGCTTAGCTGGCCGTTAGTAGTCGCGCGATTCGGCTCGAATCTGGATATGACAACCACCTAGGGATACTCTAGTGTGGTTGGAGGGTTTGGCCAAGATCGAATGAGCGGAACGACTGAAAACGCGGAAAACGTGAAATCCGCGTTTCCCCGTATAACGGCGTTTTAGCTCATTCTATTCGGACGAAAATTTTGTGAGATAATGTCAGCTACTTGAGGAGTGCTGCATTAAATTTTGACACAGATCGCTGAATAACTTGTGCAGTTATTGGCGATAGCGTCCTTGACCATTTCGAAAGTGTGGTAAAAATAGTTTCCAAATATCGCCTCGAAGCGTCCCGGGGTTCGTCTGCAGGTTGCGAGAGTATCGGCAGTGGACACTGCGCGCTAGGATGGCAGACCCAGGAGAGATCGGTCGCGATGCGGGTGACATTGGAAACATCGGTGAAATTGGTCTTTGGATGCGCTATCGCCGGGAGGATCGAGGTCGGGTTATGGGGCAACGTCTGCACTGAGATGCAGAGCCGCGGAAATTGCTCCCCGACGGTATCGAGTTCGATGTCTGAAATGATACCGTGGCGGCTTTTTTTATTTGCCCGGCCGACGGCGATTAGTTTCGCAACCGTGGCGGGTTTGTTTTTTGGATTGGAAAGGTAGGTGAATATGATTGTTTCGCCTCCTTCCCAATTCAGCGGTCTCCGGCATATCCGTAGGTATAAGACTACTTCTATGAATATACTGGGTGTTCTGAAATCCTGAAGCTCGCTCGAAGGGTGGAATACGACAAAAATAAGTTTTTATACAACTCATTATATTAAATTATTTTTTCCCAAACTTTAAATTTCATAAAAACTCATAAGTTTGGTAATTTGTGTCAATTTGTTTCTTCGTGTGTAACTTTCTGTCAGTGTAGTAAGTTGAATAAACGTCAAATTTTGAATTCAAGATCAAATATTTCTGACCATTCGACATCAAAGACGCCGCCGTTAGCTTTCGCTTCTAGTAGTTTTCTATTCTGGTATTAGATTAGATCCATGGTGATATGAATAGATTTGACAGTTTGCTGTCAAATCGATGGTGATTTTTTGTAAACAAATTAAATTATGAACGAAATTAAATGGTGAATTCTTGTGAACAGTAATAGTTTAAAAAAGGACAGTGTTTGTGGGTGTCATTAATTTAGTTTATTTAGAGACTATGCAACCTCAAATGATAAATTATTCTTTAACTGAAATTGTCATATGTTTCATAGTAGTCGGATATGCAGCTGTGGACTTAGTTCCTTGCGATAGGACACGGAGAGTTTTTTACACGAGATGGGGTGTTATAAGTGATGGTCCTGTAGGTTCTAATTATACACAAGACAGCCATTGTGAATGGTTAATTAAAGCAAATGGTACTAATAAATTTATTACGTTAATTTTTCGTAATATGGGAACTGAGTGTTCTTATGATTATGTATTTGTTTATGATGGTGATTCTTTTAATTCTCCTCTTCTGGGTAGTTTTAGCGGAAAAACAGAACCTCAACAAGTTATAGCCACATCTGGGTTTATGCTTGTACTGCTATATAGTGATACAAATTATGTTTTAGATGGATTTAAAGCAGAATTTTCTGTAACGGATTGTCCAAATAATTGCTCTAATCATGGTGTTTGTTATGAGCATCAGTGTATATGTGAAGGTGATTGGGGTGGTTTCGATTGCTCTAGGCCGCTATGCCCAGAAAATTGTGGTAGACATGAGGGCCATGGTCATTGTAACCAAGGATTGTGTATCTGTCGGTCGGGTTATTCTGGCCAAGCTTGTAGTTTATATGAGAAAGATGATGTAGGTAACAAATGGCACTGGCTTTCTCATTCTGAAGGAGGATTTCAACCTCGTGCTGCCCATTCAGCTGTATATATAGAAATTACTGACTCTTTATATGTATTTGGAGGATATAATCTCAATACTATCCTTGGAGATTTAGAAATTTATAATTTTCAAACAAGTAATTGGAGGAACGAAAATGGTGAGGTACTTCAAAATAAAAATTTATTAAATTCTGTTGATCCAAGTTCAGTGGCAAGCTTGATTGAACATGCTGGACGTGACTGGGAACAGAAATGGGGTATTAATACTAGAACATCATTCTTAAGGAATTTATTATATACAATAAGTAACAATACAACATATACAAGGCGAAAGCAGAGACATTCAACGATAATAGAAAATGATCACGAACCAGCAGCACGGTATGGGCATGCAGCTTGTGCAATATTCCGAGGATTTGTACTTTTTGGAGGTAAATTGCATAATGGTAGTTTGGCTAATGATTTGTGGTATTATGATGTTCAAACTAGAACTTGGCAATTAAGAGGACAGTTTTCACTAGTTCAGCCTCCTTCGTTAACCAGACATACACTCACATGTATAAATAATGTTATTTATTTATTTGGTGGTAGCACTCTTGATGGAGAATTTTCCTCTACATTATATAATATAAAGTTATCTAAAGGGTTTGATGAGATGTGGCAAGAAATTAATCCTAGAGGTGGAAAGCAATTAGATGTTCGTGTAGTAGCCCATACTATGGTTTATCATCGTTCAACAAACTCTTTAATAGTATATGGTGGGATTGTACCTGGAGTAGCTAGATTTTCTAAACTTTCAGATAGAATGTTCTCATTTCAATTGGATAATCGTTATTGGACAGAAATACATTACACTCGTGAACATTTGCGTGAAAAATTTGTACCTAGAGAACGTGCTTTCCATACAGCTAATATATTTGGAAATTATTTAATTATATTTGGTGGTTATTCACATAGACACAATAAAGAAGAAATTTGTTATGACAATCAGATGTATTTATATCATTTGGGTTGTCATACATGGGTTAATCCCGATATATTAGGAAAATCCAATGAATCAAGATATCCTAAACAACAAGGTAAGTTGTACATAATTTCTGATTAGTTTTTATGCGGCTTATTAAACAGTAGAAATATATTTACCAAGTATATAATTTTTCCAAAAATATTTATGGTTGTTAAAAATAAATTGTGATTGGTGATGGGTCGTTATTCCAATAACGTTATTTTGGAACGTTATTTGATTGGAACGTTCCGGAACGTGACCAACTTCTCTTGTAACGCGTTACTGAGGAACGAACGTGCGACAGAAATATATAGAACATATGTAGAACAAGCAAACAACTAACAAGCATGCAATGAGTTGTTTTGGCGTTGTAAGGCTGTAACCGTCAGGTGTCGTATTGTAACGTAACTTTATTTTATAACCACAAAAAGAAAGTAACATAAACAGAACGTTTTGCATTATGAAAATATTGGAATGTAGAAAATAATATACAGGGTGTCCCGGAAATGGTGGGCAATCTCTCGGATATGGATAGATAATGAGAAAATAATGTCACAAGTTCATATAAAATTTTTTCTTCCGGGCTCACCCTGTAGAGTTAATAGCTCTTGAAGTTGAGAATTAAAAATGTTTTTTTTGCTGTAACTTTTGTATTTTTCAATAAATTTTGAAAATTTTTTGGCTGGATCTATAATTTTTGAAGCTGCTTTGGATGATAATATGAAATCCTCGATAATAATTGTGGGGGCCTGGGGGCAAAGCACCCCCCACCAAAATTTCTAGAAAAAAAATGTTTGTTCCACTACTTATACCCCAAATTTTCCATCATTTTATAAAAATTTATGGTATTTTACGTAAAAAAGGTATACTTGTTGAATATCCATAAAATAGATATTTTTTTAGATAAACCCGTTTAAAGAAGAAGGTACCATTTAATTTGAGATATTTTATTTAATTGAAACACAGATTTAATCGTGGTTGGCTTTGACAGAGTATGCCAAAGGCAATTAAATTGTCAAACTTGTCAAATACATAGTTTTAAATCTAAGATTCATCTCATATTAACTCATAATTTGTTATAAAATATGGAGTATTCCAATGAAGAATATGCTGATATGCATTTAATGTACGGGCGGGCTCTTTGTAATGCTTCGGCAGCGAGAAGATTTTATCAGCATTCTTATCCTAATAGAAGGATTCCGGATCGCAAAATTTTCGGACGTATTGATCAGAGATTAAGAGAAACTGGTAAAATACGATTACTATTATTAAACAAAATGGATATTAAATAAATTTTAATGTCTTTAGGTCAGTTTGCTTCTCCAAAACTTGCATCGTCAGTATACAGGATTAATCTCGTAGACATAGGATTTTGCTCATGTCTCTGAAGAAACCATTGAGAAAACTGTACTCTTGCACGAAAACCATCAGGATTAAGAGCATGTACTTTTTGGATATGGTAAGGGTGAAGAAGCTGTTCTCTTAAGGATTCTTGCAACAGTGGTCTTTGGAACATTGGTAAAAAAAAAGATAATGACCTAATGCTAACTGTTGGATGAGCAGCAACTTCGTCCAGTATATTTTCCTCTACTTCAACTATACGTGCTATTCGCGGGCACACCTGTTTGTAGTAACTGAAGCAAACTGACCTAAAGACATTAAAATTTATTTAATATCCATTTTGTTTAATAATAGTAATCGTATTTTACCAGTTTCTCTTAATCTTTGATCAATACATTCGAAAGTTTTGTGATCCGGAATCATTCTATTAGGATAAGAATGCTGATAAAATCTTCTTGCTGCCGAAGCATTACAAAGAGCCCGCCCGTACATTAAATGCATATCAGCATATTCTACATTGGAATACTCCATATTTTATAACAAATTATGAGTTATGAGATGAATCTTAGATTTAAAACTACATATTTGACAAGTTTGACAATTTAATTGCCTTTGGCATACTCTGTCAAAGCCAACCACGATTAAATCTGTGTTTCAATTAAATAAAATGTCTTAAATTAAATGGTACTTTCTCTTTAAACGGGTTTATCTCAAAAAATATATATTTTATGGATATTCAACAAGTATACCTTTTTTACGTAAAATACCATACATTTTTATAAAATGATGGAAAATTTGGGGTATAGTGGAACAAACATTTTTTTCTAGAAATTTTGGTGGAGGGTGCTTTGCCCCCGGGCCCCCATAATTATTATCGAGGATTTCATATTATCATCCAAAGCAGCTTCAAAATTTATTGAAAAATACAAAAGTTACAGCAAAAAAAACATTTTTAATTCTCAACTTCAAGAGCTAATAACTCTACAGGGTGAGCCTGGAGGGAAAAATTTTATATGAACTTGTGACATTATTTTCTCATTATCTATCCATATCCGAGAGATTGCCCACCATTTCCGGGACACCCTGTATAATGGCTATGTAGACATTCATTTTATTTGTGAAGGTGAAAACTGCAGATTGCTATTAATACATATTGTATCTATTAATACAACGAATATTATAAAAATGAACTTTACACTAAAGAAGCAAAAGAAAACAAAAAATGTAAGTACAATTAGGTAGTACAAATAAGAAATGTTACAAATATTTTGCCAAAAAGAATATCGGTTGTCAATGCATCCAAATAATAAAACTTACATAGTTACTATTGTTATATTACACATCATAGTCCCTTAAAGTCAGCCATTATGTCGCAAAACGTACTAGGTGTCAAACTTCCAGACGTAACCTCGTTCCAAAATAACCTTATTTTAGAACGTTATTCTTTTGCAACGTTCTAAGTTATAACATTATCGACTTTGAGCTGTTATTCCCATCACTAATTGTAATACAATATGTTTTGTTATTATGGAGGGTATTATAATGTACTTTTTGATGTAGAACTGAAATACTGAATGTTCGCATTTTCTTAGTATTTTCACTTTTCTTTAATTAAGGTTTCATTGACTGGCTAGCTGCCTAAGGATTGTTAACGACTCCTAGATTTAAAAAATAATTAGTGTCACTATACAAAAATTTTCATACTTTTTTTTTCAGAGAAAAACAGTATTTTCATTGCTTACACAAAAAAGTTTTATAGATTCGTAAGCTTGTAACGTACTTTACTCGGTTGCCAAATTTTTGTAACACCCTTTATATATTTTACTTGGTTTTGAATTTGCGGTGGTGACGGTTCGGTTCAGACGTTACTTGTGGCTGCCCCCGGTATACTACCAACTCTAAACGGAATCTTAATTCATAAGTGCAAATTTTAATTTACTAGATTTATTGACGTCACTGACGTCCCTATCTGGACGCCTACTTTATGACGACCCTTGACTACTAGTTTATCGGCGGCGGTGGTCGGCAGCCGGCGGTGGTGAGTGACGTCACAGAAACGTACTCCGGATTAAATCTTTTTGTGCGGATTGTCTCGGGCGCCAGTTTCCCAATCGGTTACGTGGGGGAAACTCCACGTGAAACCTACCCTCGGTTTAGAGTAAGTACTCGGGATAGCTGCAGTGAAGAAAGTTTAATTCCAGGGGTCTGTTATATTTCTCTTAATTTCAAGCAAAGTAGTTCTCTGAGTGTAGTGTTATTTTCCTTTCAAAATAAACGGTCTTATCAGTGTAGGTCACAAAAAGATAAGCGGACCTCTTTTTTACTGATCGGAATTTTATCAACTTTGTCGGCGTTAAGAATGAATACAAACGGGAATTATATTTACTANTCGGGTGGCGGTCTCTGGTCGGTGTTCAGGTCCTCGGGGTGGTCCTCAGGTTGGCGTTGGAGTTCTTCGAGTTCTGGCAGCGAACTGAGGATTCTCGTACAGGATCGTTGGTTTTATTGATACAATCCCCCCTTGACTAAGCAGGAGTCGTGGTGGGATGATGCGCGCGGCCCTCGACAAAGTGGGGCAAACGGACGGTTCGACTCGACTCGCGGTTAATTGCTCTCACCCAATTAAACTAATTAAATAAATAACTGGCCCACGGCCTTGCATAAAACTGGAAATTAATACCGGTTCATTACATCCCCCCCTTACTTCGGTGAAAAATAAAATAAAAGAATTTTATTTTATTTTTCTTTCTTAAAATTTTAAACTTATCTCTATCTATCCTACCAAGGTGCGTACCCCATACTAACCCTTTATTCTGGGGACACGTTCACCTTTTACAAAACGGACTAGCTTAAGACTACGTAATGTCGGTTCTCTTCCAAGTATTCTGCTCTTGCAGCGGTCCTCTTCGGTTCTATTCTTCTCTTCTAATTCTCCTTCCAGTGCAGAACATCGAATTTCAGCCTCGGATGGCTTGTGTCGGTGTCATACTGGATGGATGTCTTCCCCCATGGACAATGCAGTCCCTCGAAGTTTATGCAGCATAGCTGTTCCTTCCAGGGGCCCTTAGGCCCACTCGGTATGACGGCGTTCTCATATCAGCCGGTTAATCGGTTGTCGGTACAGGTTTCAAATCCTTGATATGAATCTTCCTCAATTTCTTCCCCGTCTCGGATTTCAAGTCATAGGCCACGGGTGAAATTACTTTAATTACGGTATACGGTCCGGAGTATTTCGGAGCTAGTTTTGCCGCAAAACCTCTAACAGCGGACGACAACGGATTCTCCCTCTTCATTACCCGGTCTCCCACGCGACATCGCCAGTCACGCCGGCGGAGATTATAGTAATGACTTTGCGTGTTAAAGGCATGTGACAAATTTAGTTTTACTAGATCGAAAACTTCTTGCAGTTTCGATACACGGTTTGCTCGGTTCTCACGGTCGATATCGGACGGCCCTTCCTCTGGGATAGATTCCTTATTGCGGTACAGTGCCTTCGGTACTTCCAACTCTCGGCCAAAGTTCAGGAAGGAGGGTGTGAATCCTGTAGATTCATGACGGGCGCTGTTGATTGCAAATTTGAAATCGG